TTTGGTTGGTTATTTATTTGAATTCTTTCTTGTTTCTTGATGTGGATCTATGTTACTATTTATTTTCTCCATAAGTTCTGGAAAGTTGTGTCCTCATTGCTATTAAACCTCTTTTTATAATTTAGCTTGGGGAACATTCACCTTCAAGATTTCTTTATTCTTGAGAAAAGCTTTGTAGTGCTGAGATCTCAGTATATTGTTCAGGTCTCAAAATTTAAGCAACTAACTGAGATAATGTCACTAGGGAACACTTTTTTTTTTTTTAAAGATTTATTTATTTGTGCATACAGAACTGGGGTACAGGCCAGAGGCTCAGGGGCGGTGAGAGGCTTCACCAGAGACAGAGTGGGGAACAGAACAGGCAGATCTACAAAGTACACTGCTGAGGGGAGCAGTGGGCGGGTCCAGAGAGGTCTGCCACACCATGTGGTCACCTCCCGGGCAGGCGGGAATCGAACTCATGCAGAAGCAGCTTTAGATTCTCAGTGCTGTGCTTTAACCTGCTGCACCACCAGGGAGGGCCCCTTTTGTACTTTTAGTCCTTCTTTTGAACTGTTCTTGTTCATTCTTCTGTTGGACTTTCTTCATAGAGAAAGGAGAGGTTTTCAGGATGGAGTATTCTTGGTTGGCATTTAATACTTTGGAGTTTGTTGAGTATGTCCCTCCACTCTCTTCTTGCCTGTAGTGTTTCTTCAGAGAAGTCTGATGTCATCTGAGTTGGTTTCCCTTTATAGGTTATTTGTTTCTCCCTCTTAATCATTCTCATTATCTTTTCCTTGTCTTGTATCCTTGGAATTTTTATTATATGTGTCTTGCTGTCTTTCTCCTCTTATCATGGTAGTTTGGTGTTCTTCTTGCTTCTTAGATGTCTACTTTCATCTCCTTCATATTAGGGAAGTTGTCTTCTATTATCTCTGTGAATATTTTCTCTATTCCTTGTCCTTTCTCTTCACCTTCTGGGACACCTATAACTGATGTTTCCTTTCCTAATGGTGTCATATAGCTCTTGAAGTGTTTCTTTATTCCTTTTTCTTTTTACTTCACTTTCTTTTTCTTTTTTAATTCTCTTTGTTTCTGTGTCTTTGAGGGTGCTGATTCATTCTTCCATTTCATCTATGCTGTTTTCATTACTTTCCCCAGCTATCTTTATCTCCTTTAGTGGCCTTTTCATTGCCTGCATTTCTTCTATTTCCTTTTTTGATGTCTCATTTTCTTCAGATGGCTTGCCTCATTTCACTTTTTTCCTTCTTTTTGTTTATCATAATGATTCTGAATTCTTTATCTCGTAGGCTGAGCAGTTCTTCTATTTCTTTGGTGGTTTCTGCTGATTGATGTTTTTGTGGTGAATTTTGCCCCTGTGGACGTGTTGGGTATTTGTTTGTCTTCTTTTCCCTGTTGTGTATTTTCTAATAACTTTCTATTCCTTGAGACATGTTGTTGCTGTTATTGACTGGCAGTCTTTCTGGATGTTCTTTCAGGGATGGCAGAGGGACTTCCAGATATTTCATTTGTAGACAGTATTCTGTTTTGTCTAAATATTTCCAGCCCCTACTGTGTGGAGTTATGTCTGTCATCTCTGCCAGTGATGCTCAGGGGTCTCTTGTGGTGTTCAGCTTCTTCTGGTAGCTTGTTGAATCCTTGTCTCTGAAAGGTGCCTGTTGATCTTTGTAGCTTTGTGATGTCCCAGGTTCCCTCTATGCTTGGATGCTTGGATGCAGCCCCAGAGGGTGGGGTGCATTAGAAGTGTTGCAGCTGGGCTTGTTGTTGAGCCAGTAACTGATTTTGTTTATTTTTTGGGCACTGTGAGCCTTGCAAGGCGGTGCCTCCCCACCTCCTGGTCTTAAGTAACACCTCGAGTCCTAGTTCTGCACACCCCCCAATTGTGCAGGCTGTCAGTTCTTCCACTAAGCCTCCAGGGCTCTTTGTATCCACTCAGAGTTGTCTCTCCCTGAGCAGTCTTTCCCTACCACTTGGGGGAGTGTTAGTGGGCCTGTTTTTATTCAGTCAAACTTTTTTTTTCCCCTTTTATCTTAGGGGCTTTGTGAACTTGTCTGCCCTGCCTAGTGACTCATACTGGGAACAAGCCCCCAGGCCAATGCCATGGGGGTGGGTGAAAGGGTTGCATGCTTTGCAGCTGCCCCAGTCACCAGATCACCAGATTTTTCTTCCCCCGGCCCCCTCCCCCCAGGCTCTATGTGCCCACTTGTGCAGTCTTTTCCCAGGGTTTGGTTCTACTCACCAAGCCGAAAGAGCAGGAAGCCTCAGTCTCCCCGGATTGATCCTGCAGTGTTCCACTTATGCTGTTTGTGGTGCTTCAGAGTGGGAGTTCCCTTACTGGAACTCCCCAATCGCCTATTCTCCCTTAGTTATCTGCCTTCTAGTGAGTCCTGGGTGTCCTCATTTGGGTTCAAACTCGTAGCATGTAAGTCTATAGTCTGAGTCTGTTTTTATATATTCCCGTGCGAGCTTGGAGTTAGTCATCTCAGGGTCTTTACTCTGCCACCATCTTGCCAGTTATTTTCTCCTATTTTGTATTCAAGTGTTTAACTCATTTTGACTTAACTTTTATGGGTGGTGGAAGATAGTGGGTTATTTTCACTCTTTTTGCACATGGGTGTCAAGATTTCTCAACCCCAGATTTGTTGAAGAGATTTTATCAGATGCTTTTGATTCCTTTGTCTTAATTTAACTGTTCATGCAAGTATAGTTTGTTTCTGTTCTAATCCATTGATAGTGTGTCTACTTTTACTGTTTTGATTACTATATCATTGTAATATAAAGTCTGGGCATTTTTAATGTCAGGATTCCTTTGAATATTGAAGATCTTTTGTGGTTCAACACAAATTTAAATAATATTTGTGCCATTTCCTTGAAAAATGCTATAGGAATTTTTTAAGCAAGTGTTAATTCTTTCAATCCATGAGTATAATTTTCTTTCCATTTCTTTGTTTTTCTATTTCTTTTAACAATGCCTTAAAGTTTTTGTTGATTTTATGCCTAGGTACTTCTTTTTTATACAATTGGATTGTATATGGATTGTTTTCTTGATTTTTTTTTCTCTTTTTAGTCATTATTTGAATATAGGAATGTAGTAAATTTTTGGCATTATCATTTTTGTAGCCTGCCATCTAACCATACTGACTTACTGTTTCTAGTTTTTAATGGACTCTTAATGATTTTCTGTGTATTATGCAGTCTGAAAATAATGATAGTTTTACTCATACTTAGTCCTTTTGGATTCATTTACTTTCTATTGCCTAATTGTTATGATGGGACTTCCAGAACTTTGTTGAATAGTAGTGATAAGAGTGGACATTCTTGTCTTTACCTGATCTTATAGGACAAGCTTTCATCTTTTTACTATCATCTATAATGTTAAATGTATTTTCCATACATGGTTTTTATTATGTTTAATTGTGTTTCTTCTATCCCCATTTTTGTTGGGTTTTTATCACAGACAGATACTGAATCTTGTCCGATGCTTCTGTATCTAGTGATATAATCATAAGCTCTTTCCTTGGTGTAATTTGTTTATGCTGACCACTCTTGGATCCCTGGAATAAATCCTACTTGGTTATGATATTTGATTCTTTTAATCATTGAATTTGGGTTACTCAGATTTTGTTGAGGATTTTTGTATCTGAGTTCATGAGGAATAGTAGTGTGTGACTTTATGTATGTGAATGTCCTTGTACCAGAGTGGTGAAAATAGGAAGAGCACAGTGTACTATGGTGGAAGACTATGAGTGGGAAAGCTATGGTGACCACACCTGAGGGGAGGACTCCTGTACTATCAAAAAAATTAACAAGGTTGTATTGTAATAAAATGGTACCTCATTAAAAAATAAAATAAATTCTATATTTCAACTTTATTTTCCATTTTAAGAGTTGGGAAGCATATGAAAGACATTACTTGTGATTTTTTTTTTTACTTTTGGTGATACCATCATTGCCCTAAGTCATATAAATTCTAGTTAAGCATTAAAAAAAGTCACAAACTGATAGAATTACCTTTGGACAGTATGCAGTGGTGATAGTAGGCTAGGAAAACAAAGGGTTTAAGAGGGAGGATAGTGATGGTGAGAAAGAGGTAGAGGTAAACATATATTTGAACTTAGGGCAATGAGATGAAATTTAAAGCAGGAAACTAAATGTATTCAGTATAAATGTCATCTTTTTGTTGAAACTATTTAATAAATGATTTTCCTTTAAAATAACTTTTCAAAAAATTTTACAAGTAGTTGTAATTACCGAAATTGATGGAAATATACAATCATACATTTTCTTTGGTATTATAACCTAATGATGAAGTTACTCTTGGTTCAGCCAAATATTGTTTAGTTCTAGTTATTGTTTAGGTGATTCTCTATTGGAAGAAGTATTAACTACACAGTTTTGCCTAAAATATTAGAGAACCATCATGGTAAGGAAAAGAAATTTGAAACATTTCTGCTTTCATTGAAGTATCGCTGTCTTTAAACTAGAAATTTATTCAGTGAAAACTGCAGAATTCTAAAATTTTTTTAAAGGTACCTCAAAGGATTTAAAACTACCATTAAAGTATTTTTAAAAGAAAGCTAGACTTATTTTTTTTTTACTTTCACTACCATTTAAATACCATTAAAGTATTTTTAAAAGAAAGCTAGACTTATTTTTTTTTTACTTTCACTACCATTTAAATACCATTAAAGTATTTTTAAAAGAAAGCTAGACTTATTTTTTTTTACTTTCACTAGTTTGTACGTATGCATATTGAACATGTATATGTGTTTTAGATCTAATTAAGCATATTTTACCATATTTTTTTCTTTCTTTCTCATGAGCCAATTAATTGAAACTTAAATCTCTAAGGAAGGACCTTCTAGCATGTTTGGTGTTTCCAGCTCTTTTTATTTGTATAGATTTTTATAGATATAAATAAAGCGATGCCCACAGAACTCAAACATTTTTCTCAATGACATAAAAGCTGAAAGTAACTCTTTATATTTTTATTACAGGTAAATTGGGACATTCACAGTGCACAGAAACAGAGGTAAGCAAAATGTTCATATAGTTCTTAACAAAGCAGCTTTGCAGTTCTAGACTAACTTAGTAAGCTGTCTCACTCCAGGTTCTTCGTTTTCTGACATGAATGTACTAAGAATAGGTATATATCTTTCCTATATATTTAGGGAGAATAAAATGTGAAGGAAAATTAGTTATCTCATTCATATTTTTAAAATATTGGGTTGTGTTGTCATAATTCTAAAACTTTTCTTTATTAATATTTGTGATGTTGAGTTAGCTTAATTTCATAGCCTTAATAGGAAATAGTTTAAATTCAGAATTCTTTTTATTCATTATCCAATCTGGCATGTAACAATAAACAAATCATTTAAATTTGTTAGACTTCTGTGAAGCTGTCTTGGTGTAGAAAAAAATAGGGAAGCAATATTTTAGTAAGACTAATAATGAATTAATCTTTGTGACTTTATAGATGGTTCATTACTTTTTAATAATTTAAATAATGTGTAAGTTCTGATTGTGAGATTTAAGTAATTTTCATGCAGTTCCATGAGTTCTTACAAGAGTTTCAAGACACTATCCATGAATTCTGTATATGATTAGTGCATTTAATTAATTAATTTTTTTAAAGATTTATTTATGCACACAGAACTGGGATACAGGCCAGAAATGCAGGGGCAGTGAGAGGACTTACCAGACACAGAATGGGGAGCAGAACAGGCAGATTGACCAAGTACACTGCTGAGGGGAGCAGTGGGGGAAACAGAAGTCTGTTGCATTATGTGGGTCACCTCTCTGGTTGGGGATCAAACTGGTGCTGAAGGGGCTGTGGCTAGCTTCCTAGTGCTATGCTTTAACCCATTGTACCACCAGGAAGGGCCCTGTTTAGTGCATTTTAGAAGGTGTTGTATCATCCTTACATTTGGTATCTTAGTTTCTTTGTTAATTGCAATCTCTAAATACAAAATCTGAGAAGTTGTTTTTCTAACTTTTTTATTTTATTTAAAGATTTATTTATATATGCATGCAAGAACTGGGGTACAGGTCATAAGTGTGTGGGGTGAGAGAATTCATCACAGATAGAGTAGGGAGCAGAACAGGAGGATTGACTGAAATACATTGCTAAGGGCAGTAGAGGACGAAGCAGAAGAGGTCTCCTGTGCCATGTGGGTCACTTCCCTGGCTGGGGCTCAAACTCATGCTGTGGGGACTAGCTTCATAGTGCTGTGCTTTAACCTATTGTGCTGTTAGGGAGGGCCCTGTTTTTCTGACTTTATCAGACATCTACATGTTGATGTAGGTTTTAGTAAACTAGCTAATTTTCAGTAAAATGTAAATTTTATTTTAAATTTTAATTAAAAAACAGAAAATTGTTCTTTTTTGCATTCAGAAGTTGTAGAATTCACTTTCATAGTTTCCACTAAGCTTTGGAATTTTCTAATTTTTTTCCAAAATAGCTCTAAAAATTGTCAAAATAATTTTAGAATTTTAAAAAGAGATTTATTTATTTATGCATATAGAACTGGGGTACAAGACAGAGGGGCAGGGGCAGTGAGAGGATTCACCAGAAACTGAGTGGGGAGAAAAACAGGCAGTTTGATGAAGAACACTGCTGAGGGAAGCATGCATCGAATGAGACAGGAGAAGTCTGCTGCGCCATGTGGTTCACCTCCCTGGCCCCAGGATTCAAACTGCTGCTAAATTGCTTGTGGCTAGCTTCGTAGTGCTGCACTTCACCCCCTCGTGCCACCAAAGAAGGCCCAATTTTTAGAATTTTTGATGCACTGTTTAACACCATAAAGTTTGAGTGTGAGAATAGAAATTCTATTTGTGGTTTCTGATGTGCATCTTTCTAACTATGCAATTTTGAGCAAGTAACTTTACTCTTAAAACTGCCTCTTTTTTAACTATAAAATGTTAATGTAATCCCTATTAACATCACAGGCTGTGAAATTTTTTTTTTTTAAGATTTATTTTATTATTTATTCATACAGAACTGGGGTACAGGCCAGAGATGCGGAGGGTGAAAGGATTCACCAGGGACAGAGTGGGGAGCAGAACAGGCAGATCAATGAAGTACACTGCTGAGGGGAGCAGCGTGCCAGCCAGGAGAGGTCTGCCACGCCATGTGGTCACCTGTGGGACAGGCGGGAATCGAACTCATGCAGAAGTGGCTTTTAGCTTCTTAGTGTGGTGCTTTAACCCGCTGCGCCACCAGGGAGGACCAGGCTATGAAATTTTAAAGGTAATATATGTTAAAATGTTTTTTAAATGACAATGTTATATATATCAAGAAGAGTCAAGAATTATCAGCATTCATCTGCCATTAGATAATAAGATGTGAGGATGTGTTGCTATAAGATTAACATGGCTTTAACATTTTGTTTAGTACATTCTTTGTGTGGGAGTCTTAATTTATTTTATTTCCTTAATTGGTAGCCCTATTCCTTTGACCCATACTTTAGGCCACTTAGAGAATTGGAATCTAATTAAAGGTTGTTGAAAGAGAGTAATCCTCCTTGAGAATATTTTTTCTCATTTCACTATTTGAACAGGGAATAAATCACAGGATAACAAAAAAAGATTCATTCTGATTATTAATTTACAAAATATAAATAGGTAGAGAGTATAGTCTTAGAGGTAACACTGGCTGTTTCCTCTGGAGAAGAGATTGGGATTGTGTGTGTGCATGGCAATTTATTGTTTTAACAAAAATGAGAATAACTGTTTTTACCTTAGTAAATAAAAAGGTGGGACAATGATAATTATTTCAAAAAGTTGGGTGACTTGAGGTGAAGAGGTGACAACTTAAGTAGAGGGTTTATTTTTCTCTCAGTTTAGATTAGGGAAGGTTGTATATTTGGTGGTAGTAACAGTGCTATGGGAGTGAGATTGGATTCCGAGTTAGAGAGAGGATACCTCTGAAATCAGAGGTAGGATTTGTGGGAGAAAATGGTTTGTCTACAGCAATGGTTCTCCAAGGGCTTCGAGAAGATGCTGGGAAATTCCATGAGACTCTTCCAGGTTTAAACTGTTTCCAGAGTAACACTAAGACATTATTTGTCCTTGACTTTCATTTCTCTAGAGTGTGCAATGGCGTTTTCAGAAGTTATAGGACTCTTGACTATGACTGTAATACCAGACTGACCATGGAAGCAGTTGTACATCTCGTTTGATCTTCAAGAGTTTTGTAAAAACTGAAAAACAGTGTTACTATCCTTACTGTTTTCTTTAAATTGTCTTTTCCATGAAAATGCTACTTACATTAACATGTCTGGTATTTTTAAATGAATAATTTAGGTGATTTAATTAAACCTTTTCTAGAGTTAATTTCCTTTTTTTTCTTTTCTTCATTTTTAAAAATAATATAATAGTTTATTTTTACATCATTTTGTGCCTTTTTCCATCTCAGTTGTAATCCCCATTTCTTTTTTGTTTTTAAGCTTTATTGATTTATGCATACAGAACTGGGGTATAGGTCAGAGGTGCAGGGGCAGTGAGAGAATTCACCAGAGACAAAGTGGGGAGCAGAACAGGCAGGTTGACCAAGTACATTGCTAAGGAGAGCAATGAGTGAGACAGGAGAGGTCTGCTGCACCATGTGGGTCACCTTCCTGGTTGGGAATTGAATTCACAGTATGTGGCTGTGGCCAATTCGCCGTGCTGCGCCCCAATCCATTGCGCCACCAGGGAGGGCCCTCTGGATTTAATTTCTAATACAACAAGTATTGAGAGATTACAGCCAACATAAAAGTTCCTTGGAAACTCAGTAATTTTTTTTTTTTTTAGAGTGTAAAAGGGTCCTTTAAAACTAAAACTTGGAGGCACAGATAACAGAGATACTTCTTCCTGAGAAACAGAATTAAGGACTGAGGGATAAAAACAAGAGTCCTAAAGTAAACAGTGGGAAGTTGAGGGACTATGTATGTATGGATTTAAGCAACCTTTTTGTGTTCAACCAGAAGACAGGGTCATTCCTGAGAATGAGATTCCTGCATCAGATTGGGATGTTGCTTTTAAGTCTTTTGTCCTTTAATTGATTTTCTATTGAGAAGAGATTCCCAGACCTTTTAAATGAAAAATACAACCAAACCCTTGCTGTTATTGTGTGCAGAACCATGAGAAGGGCTGCTAGGATGAGTAGAAAGCAGAAGGATCCTGGGTGCGGTAGTCTATCGCTCATTTCTTGTTCCACTTTGTAAAGCAAAGCAGTTCCACGCCTTTCTGATTTGCAAGAGATATGTGAGTACATGCAGGCGGGGAGAAGACCATTTTGCCTGGGCTCAAATCCTCATTGTACTTGTTCCTTTTCATTTTTTGCCTCAACTAAATCCAGAGATGGACTGTGAATAAGGAAAGAACTTTTAGTGTAAATCCTGACTTGATGACTATAACAATGTGTTATTCATAGTTGAGACCTGTATGATTTCCAAGAAAGGAGAAGGTCTTATTTTTTAAGCAACTATCAGAGACCCATGAGGAACTCTAGAGATACTGGGGAAAAACAACCCCTTTATCTTTCAGGGACGTTAGGACCCTCATCAACATTAAGTTGAACTATGTAACTTTTTTCTTTTTTTAAAGATTTATTTATGCACACAGAACTGGTGTACAGGCCAGAGATGCAGGGGTGGTGAGAGGATTCACCAGAGACAGTGGGGAGCAGAACAGACTTACTGACAAAGTACACTGCTGGGTTGAGCAACCGGCAGGTCAGGAGAGGTCTGCTGCGCCATGTGGATCCCCGGGGCAGGAGGGGATCGAACTCATGCGGAAGTGGCTTTAGCTTCTTAGTGCAGTGCTTTAACCCGCTGTGCCACCAAGGAGGGCCCAGGTGTTCAGTTGTTTTTAATGCAACAGTTTGTATATTACATAATGTCTTTTATGAATTATTTTCTAATTTTACTTAAATTTGCTTCTTAATACTTTTCTTAAATTCACAGAAACTAAGTAATATTAAGAGGCTAGGGCAAGGAAGCCATACATAGTCATTAATAGAAGACAGGAATGTGATGAACATTTTATATG